TGAGTCCAGCAGTCAACAAAGGGAACCATGGCAGTAAGGAATTGACAGCTTTAGAACATCCCTTCTAAATCAACGTCCCTTAACAAGAGGCTCTCAAAAGTTTAGAAATGCTCAAAAGACGATTCTGGGCCCGAAGACCTCTGCTGGGCGGGACCCTAATCTCGACAAAATGGCTTCCGCGTACCATCAGCCGAATCCTTCCTTTTCAAGGGTTAACAAGTTCGCCTCTGACAGCGTTTGCGAGAAACGTTCGCAAGAAATTCCCTGGGGTTTCCGTTTTCACTTTTTGTACGATTCTGGCGGAACACGCATTCCCCCGTGAAGGCCCCGAAGCCCCGCAATGACGAAGAAGACGATGTCGCGCGGCGTTAGTGCCCGTTGAAGAGTCTTGGTTCAAATCCTCGAAATGGCGACGCGCTCGAAGAAAACTCGAAGCGAAACTCGGAAGTCGCGATGAAGCCTCGGAGAAAAACTTATGGTACACGTGGTCAGTTCTATGCTCGTGGTCTGAACGATCTTCGGAAGGACAATAAAGGCGGGGAACGATAAACAACGAAGAAGAAAAACATTTGAACGAAGAGACGCCAATGGCGTACGGGGTGTGTTCAAAGGCTGGATTGTTTCGAAGGGATCGAGTATAATAGCAATAGATAATTCGGATGAATTGCACGATATTGACCATATTCGAGTTTTTAAGTACTATCGTTATTAAGTGGACGCGCGCCCGACAAGAGGGACGACTCTCGTGTTTCGAGATTAATTCGTGTCTCAACCTCAGGCGCGATCTTTAATCATGCTTCACCGGATCTCCGACGAAAGAAGCTCTGGCCAAAATTCGAACCGGACGCGCGGGTTCTGGTCTATCGGTATCGCGTTCCCGATCTGCGCGGGAACAGCAAGCGTCTCGCGAAGCGAAAAACACCGAAGAAGAATCTCTCAGCCTGCGGAGCGAAGAGGACAGAACTAACGAATCGGTCGGCCGTTGGTCCGTCGTGTTCGTTCTTTGTCGCGAAAGAGCTCTGCGCGGTTTTATATACAAATTGGCATTATATATATCACAGTTACAATACAATATGTCGACAAATGCGGAAGGAAATTCTGTAAAGCACTGGTCGCCATGTTCGCGGCTGACACCTTCCGGACAGCTTGCATATGACGCGCGTCTTTGCTGTGTCTTCGCGACCCTAATGCAACGCAACCTGTTCTCATTGTACGCTTATGAGCATTCGATAAATCTATCCTAGCCTAACAATACATACATATATCATATATCATATATATATATATTTTTTTTTGTCAATTTTCGCTAAACCTATACTTTCGATCCCGGACACGTGTTATAAACTGGGCGGGAAGGGGGAAGTAGAAGGAATCAATCATCCTCTTTCTCGCTGCACGCATATTCCTTTCGAGGGAAGAAAACTGTCTGGGGACGAATCAGGACGCGAACGTGAAGAACAGAGCTAGGAAAAAGATCAAGCCTGCTTGCCACACACCACCGAAACTAGGCGAAAATGGAAATAAAAACTAGACAACCGCAAGAAGAAATGCAAGTGTTTCCTTCGTGCAATAAAAATGAGAGTCCTAAGATATGCTGGTACACGGAGACGATGCTCGACATGGTCCCCAGTGATTACACAAGCGTTATATAAAAGCGAGTTAACAGTCTGTAATTGCGTACCCTTGCTGTTCGCAAGAATTTCGGTAGTACCGGGCCGTTATCCGCGCGAGATTGTCTTTGCAGCCGAGCTGTTGCTTCTCCTTTCCTTCCACTACTTTTCTACGCGCTTTCGTCTATCCAAAGTTTTTCTATCCCTTAGTGTCAACAAACTTTACATCTTCCCCGTTCACAACGTTTCGAACGAATCTCCGTTCGACGGACAACGAAGTCTTGCCTAAATCATCTAGCGCGCGAGACCACTCAGTGGCTAGCTTCATCTTCGAACGTTCCGGGTTGCGGGAACCATTCAAGCCAACGGAGTTAATTTTCATGCAAGAGGGAAATACCGATATAAAACACTTCTGTCCAAGCATCTAAAAATTTCGTTAAAGGTCGTCGAAAAATTTGTACTACCTTCGGCGGCAAAGACAATTTAGGAAATTGTGTTTGAGTAATTCCCACGTATACGCTAAGCCGAATGTATCCGGCCACAGTGTCTCGCTCGAAAACGAGACGAGCATAGCCGGAGAAACAAAGACAACCGACACACCTTTCCCCGGATTTAATCATCGCTCACAGGAATCAACTACGTGCGATGTGCAGCTCAGATGGAAGTCAACGACTATATACATAGGCGATTACAGTAAAGCTTTACCAACACTTTGATAACCGATTCGCGAGAATTCTAACGATAATACAGGCCGATCGATTAAGCTTAAGAAGATTAGACCTTGAGGCAGCTACAGGCGGGTCGTAGCCAAGCCTTCTGTCACCTCGTTATTCTTACTACTCGTGGACACTAGATTATTCACAAATTTCTTTTCTTTTTCTCTTTTTCGTGTGTCATTTCAGTGAGGGAGTATAATCTCGTCATCGTTGTGCAAACGTCCGTGTGTGGCTAGAAATGCACGGGAACGATCGGCAATCGAGCCTCCACAGGCGGAACAGGACGAAGAATAGAGGACAACGAAACGATTAAATAGAAAAAAAATAGAAGAAAGAAAGAAAAAGAAGAACTCTCTCTCTCTCTCTCTCACTCTCTCTCTCTCTCCCCCTCCCTCTCCCTCTCTCTCTCTCTTTCTTTCCCTCTCAACAAGGTTTTCTGTAGAAGCGTAATTTCGTGACTAACGCGATCTGAACGCGGCGTTACGGTTAAAACGAATTCGTACGGTTCGTACACGTTGGAACAATAAAATTCTTGAGCTGGTATGTGAAGTCGCTGTGCGAAAGGGTTCACCGAAGAGACTTGGTGAACCGGAAATGCTGAACTTCGCAAGTCGGCCATGTAAAGCTAACAGATTTGCCTAGAACGCATATCGTATATGTACGTATATATACATAATAAGTATGTAGGAATAGTAATGGTGTGTTCCGCATACGCGTGCCATTAAAAATTCTGTATATAACTTACGTTGTAACGCGTACCCGCCGTGGCAACGGCGTTCCGCGTGCGCGTCTGGCGAGTACGCTTTTAGGAAAGTTCTCTTCTTAGCAAAGATTTCACGTGTAGTATATATACAGTGGACATCGTTTGCTTTTTGTATATAATTAACTATTTACCGATTGGATCGAAGGCTCCGCTATTAGTTCATGGATTGAAGAGCTCATCCGATCCATGAGTGAATTTTTTTCTATCGTGTCTTGAGTTCTCAAGACATTTCGAAGGTATCCGAAATATTCAGCTATCCGACACACATCTTGGGTCACACATTTAAGGAAGGCCACATTGAACTAGTCTAGGAAATTACTGTCTAGCGCTCTGAACAAATATATTGGTAAAATTTAGCCTATCTTGTCTAACCTATGACACATACGCAAACGAGTAATAGTTGGAGATTCTTGCAAACGAAATCTATATATAAATCTATATATCTATATCTATATATATACATATATATATTTATATAGATTTACATATATTCTATTTTGTTAGTACATCTGAGCAATCTTGTTCTTCGTTTATCATCAATAAGTTTCGGATCCGCGATGAATTTTCACGTTTTCCTTTTCTTTTTTATGTTAAACGATTATTATCTTTGGTATTGTGAAACGCGCGAAACCAACTTACCCAAAGATAAAAATGTCTATGGTTTACGTTCCTTTTTTTTCTCCTCCTTGTTCGTTAAAGTTATTTCGTTAGTCTGTCAACGAAGAACAAGCGAAATCGCAAGTGCGACATACGATATAGATGATTGGATCACAAGTATTAGATACCAGAACTGACAC